TGACCAAAGCTGCAAAGAGCAGGCAGTGTAAACCACCAGGGTCGTTTTCAACCATATTGCAGCATGTCGCATGCCGTCGTGCACTCCAATGATTAATGCTTCATTCAAATTATGCAAACAATCGAGCCTCATTCTTCCCTAATGTGGCACGCCTCAATGCCCAACCTAATGTTCCACTTCCTGTGAAGACGTAATATGAAACCGAAGCCACAGTGTGCACACACACACACACCAATGACCAAACATCATGCACCATTGTAGCCACGTGCATGATACCCACTTGTTCGTTCACTCCTGAACTTCTGCGCATGTGAGATCTGTGAGTGCATATGCCGCTTGCAACCGTAGGCGTATGTCGTATTACATGGGCCCACCCCTCCTGAGTTACGCCTTACCTGGACCCCAAAAGTATGTAGAACAATCGCCTTTTATAGGTGTTGGGCCATTATTCTACCTGCTTTGGGGGGATTAGGTAAGCCCCAAACCCTATATCTTCAGGCCGTTGAGCTAGCTGGATTCGAAAGAACTTGTTTTCTGTGTCTGTGCCTGAGGCTTTGGGTTCATCTGTATGTTCTTGTTGTTCTGTCCTCGAGTTTGCCCAGAGTAGCCAGGCAACCTTTAAAGACAAGACAAAAGTCCATGATCTATAATGCCTGCGGGTCTTACGTTGGGTCCAGATAAGAACCATGGCCCCAGGGTTAAAAAAACACTGAGAGTTGGTGTCATCGCGAGGTTCCCGTTACTAGCTCACCTTTCGCAGTGCTGTTATGTGTTCAGCATTATTGCCATTGCGAGTGTGTTGCTGTCGGAGTTTTGTAACGCTCAGTTCGTCCAGTATGTTGTTTTAAACCGCTGTAGTGCTGCTAAAGGTACTGGGGTTCACCCTTGCCGAGCTAGGACTAGGATGTAGACATTGCGTATTGCGGCTCACGCTTTGTGGTACAGGGCTTATGTAGTATAAGCCTCAGCACCTGGCATGTGTTTACTCCTTAAAAGACCGACCTACAATTGTCTAGAGACCATCCCATACCCACATACGCGGCTGATCAACAAAGCTCCGCATGGCCTTGCAAGCATCCCCCCTTTTCAACACAAAACCTTCGATGAATGGTAGAACCATTCTGGATGATGCAGGGCTTGTAACCCACAGGCGCAATCCAAGCATATGGTCCAGCGAGTTTCATACGGACTTGTTGTTTGAGGATGGAATAGGGATGTGGGATGTTGGGGATGCAGGGATCAGGGTGGTATCAGCTGAGTATAGGGTTCCGGGCTGGGTTCTGTCGGAATGCACCGCTTATGGAAGGGTAATAAGTACTAAGTCAAGCTATGTATTATAGAAGTCTGAATAACTACCATGTTTATTCCCCAGGGCTCCTTATTATAAATATAGTATAAAGGAGCCCCAAACCCTATTCTAATTATTAAGGCGCCTACATATACCCTAAACCCTGAACCCTGAACCCTAAACCCTAAACCGTCTTAATTGTTAGGTCCAGGAGCAGAGCGGCAAGGCACGACACTGTTGGTGTAGCAGCCAACATCAGCAAAATTGTCGGCAGAAAGTGGCAGCTTATAGTAGACACATTTTTTTAAAAAAGAAGACCCGTCCTTTAAGATCACCAGCGCTTTCGGAACGGCAACAAACAACAGCACCCCTCATACCTAAACCCTAAACCCTAAACCCTAAACCGCTATATACAAAGCAGAAGCGAATTGCCACAGGCGGCTCCCCGCGCAGCTCCAGGAAAAAAGAAGGAATCTGCAAGGCCTTGAGGGTCTGGGTTTAGGGTTTAGGGTTTAGGATTTGGGGTTTAGGGTTTAGGGGTGTAGGGAGTTGGGGTTTAGGGTTTAGGGGGTTTCAGGTTGTGGGGGTTTAATTGGGCTTTAGGGGTTTCGTTATGCTTGAGTGGTTTCGGGGTTTGGTAGTAGTCTAGTTACGGTTGAAGGGGTTTTGCGAGGTTTAGGGTGTCTTGGCTCTGGATCCACGAACTATGACCTGGTTTCACAGGAGATTAGGAGTTTCAAGGATTGGATTTGAGCAGTGAGGGTTTCTTATTGGCTGTAAACTCAACTTTTCAACTTTTGGGGTTCTTATAAGGTAGTCCTTTCCTTGGGTTTGGGGCCAGTGAGGTTTAGGGCTTAGTGTTTAGGGTTTAGGATTGGGTTTGAGCAGCTTGGGGATTGAAGATGTAGCTTTCGGGGTCAAAGATGTGGAACGGATTAGCGCGGCTTTCGGGATGATTGGGGGCAGCTCAAGTTTGGCGGTGTCGAAACACTTTTTTTTTTAAAAAAAATCCCACGTTGACAAAGACCGACGGACAATTTACCTGGAAATTCACATTTTGTGCCCAGCATAACCCTAAATTCTAAACTTTAAACCCTCAAAAAAGTGGTATGATTTTGACATGCATTGTGGTTTTCCGGGTGTAGTCAGTCGCCAAGTTAGTACCGTGCAGGTCTACGTGCGCCGAAAGACTTTTACAGCCCTAGACCCTAAAAGCCGACCTTTCGTTCCAAGGTGTGGTTCAGGGTTTAGGCTTTAGGGTGCTTCGGGCCATGTTAGGAGTTTCTAAGTACCTAACCCTAAGGCTCTAAGGACTCATGTGTTAAGGCTTCTGGGCCCAAAGACCACGCTATAAAAGGCTTTTGGCCTATTTTGAGCCTTCGGGTAAAACTAAATTTTCGTAAGGATAAAGTTCCATCATCCTTTAAGCCGTCAGCCCTGGAATCACCCTAAATTTAAACTCTAAACCCTCAACCCGAAAGCCTCAACTGGACCTACACCCTAAACCCCACCTAAGTCCCATGATCCCTTGCCTTAGTTCTCCAATAGCCAACCTTTGAACTTTTTGGGTATTTATAATCTCATAGTAATCTGCCCTAAACCCTAAACCCTAAACCCTAAACCCTAAGTTTAACCTTTAATCTTCCTTGCTTTTTGGGGAAGTAAGTTCGTGTCCAGGCCGAGCTTGGAAGAGTTCCTCGAGGTGGGATCTTTCGACTTTAGGGAATTAGGGGTTTGGGGTTTTAGGGTTTTAGGGTTTTAGGGGCTAGGGGCTTGGGGCTTGAGGTGTAGGGTCTAGGATCTTAGTACCTTAGGGGTGTTGGGTATAGGGTTTTAGGCTTAGGATGTTAGGACTTTAGGGGTGCATGGTTTAGGGGTGTTGGGTTTAGGGTTTCAAGGTTTAGGGTGGGGGGGTGTTGGGTTTAGGGTTTAAGATGTTAGGATTTTTTTTGAGGGGGGGTTCAGGGTTTGGGGTGCCATATAGAGGAGCTACAGTCGAGAGTAGATCCAATCGACTGTTCCCTATGGGACGTTTCTGTAAGAACCTGGAACCCATTGGGGGACGCGACTGGAGAAGGCCTTTTGCAAGAAGTCCCCAGCCAAAAGCCAGCCCTTGACCCTAAACCCTAAATCCTAAACCCTGACCCTAAACCCTATAAACCTTAGCTTCCCGGAAGCAACGCCGATCCTGTAAGAAAGCGCTTCTGGGCTTGGAATCCGCTGGCCCCGGTGCTGTGTGGCGAGACTTTCTGCCCCTTTTTTGGCTTCGGTTAAAGTTCAGGTTTAGGGGGTTTAGGGTTTAGGATACTTTGGTTTAGGTTTAGGGTTTAGGATATTTTACTGTTCGGGGTTCGGTTTGGGTGCAGGTTTAGGGTTTAAGATATGTTATGGTTCGGGGCGTAGCTAGACTTCCAAATCGCTTCCAGTGGTTTCTGGAAGTCAAGATAAAGCAGCGGTCGGAATAATAAGCGTAGTGCCACCTTATGGTAGCGAAGGCCCTTATGATATAATCCACTATGCCCCAGAGTCCTATAGTTCTCCCTAAATCCTAAACCCTAAACCCTAAACCCTAGTTGTCAGTTATCAGGCCCCAACTGGGCTTTGGAGGACCAGGCTTTAATACTTTTTGTTTGGGACCTGTTCCTCAAAGGAACTATTTTATGAATGTCTATATTTTTTCTCCCTGGTTGCTTCAAAGCCCAGTAATACAGAAGGGTTTAGGGTTTAGGGGTTAGGGTTTAGGGTTTAGGGGTTTAGGGTTTAGGGCCGTAATAATT